GGATTACAAACATTTCTACACAATGGAAATGTGAAACGTACGTATTCAGTGTCTCAGTTACTCCCAAGACTCCCATAACATCTACAGTGACTTTACTGCACATTTCAGATGGCTGTACAGGTAGGCCATAGTGCTGTCGTCAGCATTTTCAGGTGTCACCAATTGTTTTTGCAATGGGAAACACTGAGATTATAAACTGTCATAGTGGAAACATGACAATGCCATTTGACTATCTTGTTCATAAAGATGGTGTCAAGACTTTTCATTTTGATGGCACTGACAGTTTCATTGACATGGATACTTGCTTTTGAGGTATGGATAATCAATTCTGTGCATGTGACGTGCTTTTGCAGGCTATCCACTAGGTTTTGCAGTTTGCACTAATTGTTTTGGGAAATGCACTAACTGCTGTGCAAATGTTAATGGTGTTCTGAGGAACGCACCAAAGCAACTGAGAAAAACTGTAAATAAGTTGGCTGAGGTTTTTGCTGGTAGCACATGATTATACACCCTTTTTTCTCTTTCTGTATCAACAGAACCAGATCCTTACATACAGATTGCTGAACTGAGGAAGAATATATATATATATTTGTTCGACTACTCCGCCTAGGCTCGACAGTGCAGCCTAGGCGGAGTAGTCGAACGCAGATTCACTGAGCGCTCAACACAGACAGCATCGTCAGAAGGAAAGTTGATCAAAATAAATTACAAATTTTGTATTGTTCGATACATATGCGTACCGAACCGAAAGCACTGTATCGAACGGTTCAATATCGATACGAGTATCGTTGCACCCCTAATAGATAGATAGATAGATAGATAGATAGATAGATAGATAGATAGATAGATAGATAGATAGATAGATAGATAGATAGATAGATAGATAGATAGATAGATAGATAGATAGATAGATAGATAGATAGATAGAAAGGCAATAAAGTGATACTGCCTGGTTGCACTCTTTAGATCACCGATGCATATCCCCTGCAGTTGGTGTGTTGTTGGATGATGCTTCAGGATCACTGCAAAAGTGATGCAATACTTGTTCCAGTCTTGGAGACAGGGAAGATAAAGATAGATTTTTAGAGAGACTAAAATAAATTCTGAATAATAATTCAATTGATTTCATCCTTGTAGTTGCTACTTGGCAAATAAATCTGATCCTGACTAATTGTTAATAACTGTTGAAACACATTTTATGACTTAGCAAATGCGAAGTGTACCTGATTTTGACTAGTCTCCCCAAGAGAGGTTTCCATCTGTGGTCCTCTGGCTGACAGGAAGATATGGAATCTATCAAAGTCCTTAATGTCTTAATGTCGTAACACTACCTCACTGTCAATGTCAATAAATTCCATGAAATCGGTGTTATACTTCAGCAACCTATCAAGCACACAGCCCTCGTGTGTTACACGTGGGCTGTATGTCATGCAAATTCGTCTTGGAAATATGTAATTATGGAAGCATATTACCCTGCTGCTGCTGAGGCGCTACAGCATGAAATCTGTATTCTGTATTATCTATCCTGTTTTTAATTGCTTAATATAACATGGACAGCATTTATGTAGTTAAGAGACTGAAACAATGGTGTAAACAATACTGAAACAAACTTACTTTGGAGGATTCTGGTCAACATGATTAAGCCTTTGGCTCAGGTTTCATAATTAAAGTGTAAACTGGTGTATTAAACTGAAAACTGTGGTTATTAATTCTGAATTATTCTTAGACACTGAATTATTCTTAGGTTATACAAGTAATTAGATTGCTTCTGAAGGTACTATTTTATTGTGTATCCAGTTGAATATGTGCTTTAAATATGACTAATAATGTGTATTAAACGCACAGATGATCACTAAACCACTAATTACTTTCCACAGTAATTTGTTTGCACAACAAAACCTTTTATTTTGGAGATCTGTGACGTAAATGTGCCTGTCTCTAAAGGGCTTTGGACCAACTTCTGTACTATCGGTTATAAATACAATAAATGTGACAGTCAACAGAAAATGTGTTTTTATTTTTTATTTTCTCCCAAAAAATTGAATACAATTCAGTGGGCTCCATACTGAACTTAGAGGATAGGGCAAAAAAGTATCAATCTAATGCGCTAGTGTTGATCTGATACCAATACAAGCTTTGGTATCGATATTTTGATCAATCTGCCCACCTCTACCATAAATGGTAAATGGACTGGTTCTTATATAGCGCTTTTCTACTCTTCTGAGCACTCAAAGCGCTTTACACAACTTGTGCATTCACCCATTCACACCCATTCGCACAAGCTTATTGTTCTAAGTGCTTTCTAAGTAACTTTCACACACATTCACACTCCGATGGATGCATCGGAGAGCAATTTGGGGTTAATATCTTGCCCAAGGATATTTGGCATGCAGACTAGGGGAAGCCAGGAATCGAACCACCAACCTTCCAATCAGTAGATGACCTGCTCTACCGCCTGAGCGGTATGTCTGTATGTCAAAGTTGGGAAGAAAAAATGTTATGGCAAAGATTAGTTGCTGCCGTCATAATTTCTGAGTATCCATGGTTAACGGCATCTAAATAGTAAAGGCAAATTTAGGAAACACCACTCATCAATGTTTGTTTATCTTTTTGTTTTTCTGTCTCATTAGTTTCCCAACATGACATCACTAGTGCTTACATTTCATAATACATCTTATTATGATGAATAAAACATTAAATATTTATGACTTCTCACATTAAAAAAAACTACAATCACTTAGTTTGGAAATGAATTAATAATTTTAAAGTGAGGACAGAAAGAGCGACCTCCTCTGGATGAAACAGGCACTTCTGCAGACTTCACTTAATACGTTACATTGTTGCTATTGGAAACGGACTCCACACAAACTGAGAAAACACCGGAAATCCCTCTGAACCTCTGTTATAGTTCATTCTCTGAACAGAAAGAAGTCCAAAGAAGAAATAAGTGTGGGATATTCAGGCTTTGGATTTAAAATGAGCTCTCCTTTGTCGATGCTAAAGAAAACCAAACGCACTCCTCTGCAGGGCGCTCACAAAGACCAAGGGTAGGTGATTAACTCCACACAGGTAGAAACTGGACTGTAGTTTTATTGTGCAGAATAAACGTATCAATCATGTCGCCACACTTAATTTTCTTCGACCTGCAGGAGCAAATCAAAAGTTCCTTTCAGGAGGAATCTGCTGAAAGGTAACGATGCACTCACAGATCACCAGCAGCGCTGCAAATTCAGTAAAGTACAAGTACAGAATAAATAAATACATCCCAGCTAGAACTAGAACTACTTTCCTTTTAAACCCTTCAAATTAAAGCTCAAAGTCTGCACTTTAGACACACTGTGATTGTTTGATTTAAAGTGTGTGGAGATCTAACAGTATTCATGTGTCCACAACATAAATAACTTAAACTGTGATGAGCAAAATGCAGCAAATCCTCACATTTGACGAATAATAACAATTATATCTTACTGGAGAAACTGATCATAAGTTTATCAGGTAACTTTTCCAGTTGAAAAAATAGCAAAACATCTTTTATAACCATGATACTTTTTGTTTTTAGAATTTGAGGCTGAATTGGCCGATGAGTCTTCTGATTACTCTCACACTACAACCAACGAAGCCTCCACCTCAAATACGGGAGCTCCATTAAAGAAAGGTAGGCTTTAACACAATGCTTCATATTCCAGTGTTAATATATCTTCTTTTATTTATCACATACAAAATGATTATACGTTTTATTTTTCCAATACTTAATTGCTGGTTTCCAGGGTGTCCTCCGACCAACTTTGACCTCATGTCTGCCATGATGCAGCGAGTGACCCTCCTGGAGAAAACAGTGAGGAGCCATGCAAAGGAGATAGAGCGCAAAGTGAGCATGCAACCCCTTCAACGAATACCAAAACTGCCAGCCATCCTTTAAACATATTTAAACCTCACTTTGTGGTTTCATCATTCCTCCCAAGAATAAACAGATTTCAGATTTAGAGGAGAAGCTGAGGGTTCAGGAGAAGTCAGGTAATTACCTACAGCAGGCACAGACTTGAGTTTGATTTATGTTAAGTCGATCAAAGCGTTTTCATGATTGTGTGGATTTAGGAAGCATGCATGACCCGAGGAGCAGAGATGATCTCGAAAGCCGGTGCCAACAACTGCAAAATCAAGTGCATGAGATGGAGGTGAGTAAGGTGTGTTCATAAAGTATGAGATCGTGATTTTATCAGTGTGGAGGTTTCACTGAGCTGCTGTCGTTGTTGCAGGACTTTCTGAATGATTATGGTTTGATCTGGGTGGGAGATACAGACTCTGGTGATCCTGCAGAGCGAGGTAGATCCACCAGTCCTGCAGACCTGCAATCCCTCCGTGTCTTTTGTATGTTAAAGCTGTGCTGTTTTTGTTTTGTTTTGTTGTCTTCTGCAGAGACTTCTGGTGGCAGAGGCGTCCACATAAACTTTGATCTCGTGCTGCAGAGGATCAGAGAACTGAACGTCCTCCTAGGGGAAGGAGAGTCTTTTGTGCAAATGACAGCGACAGGAGCACAGCTGGCAAAAAAGGATCCCATTCCACTGAGGCTCTACAGGAATGGCATTGTAATGTTTGATGGTCCTTTCCGCTCATATCAGGAGCACAGCACGCAGGTTAGCTACACTAAAAAAGGAAAATCAAAGTCTATATTAAACTGGAATCTTTCCTTGGTTAAAAGTAAACTCTTGGTCCCTGCAGCAGTGCATGCAAGATCTAATGGATGGCTATTTTCCATCTGAGCTTCAAGAAAGATTTCCGGATGGTGTACCTTTTGAGGTGAGTCTCAGTTTCCTTTTCTTATTTTGTTTTTGGGAACAATCGACTGTCTTCACAAAAATTCTCTTTGCAGCTTCATGACAGGCGATACGAGGAATTCAACTCTAGGCTCCCGTGGGAAACGTTTCCTGGTAAAGGACAGGCTGTTTGTGGGGACAAAGATGAATCAGCAAGCTCGCTGAGTTCTCACTTCCCCGGTCTGTTCTGCAAACGTCACCCTGATCAAAGCCGCGGTGCAGATCCTCAGAGACTTTGCTGTCATTCTCATGTTTTCTTCTGATTCAAAGGCAAGAAGCTGACCACAGATCAGTTCCTGAACAAGTTGCCGAAGTTGGTGGTGAAGGCCGGCCGAGTGATTGATATCAGGAACTCGCTGAGGGCAAAGCTGCAGGTGAGTCGTAGAGAAGCAGCAATTATCTGTTTGTACAAATATACAGATGAGGACAAAATTACCAGCCACCCTACAAAGTTTAAAAGCTTCGTCAACATTTTTCCGAGTGCTTTTTTAAACAGACCAAGGACTTTTTAACATAACATTTGTAAACATTGTAGTTTTCTTTATAAAGCATCAACTATTATTACCATTTCAGAAAAAAGCAAAAATTACCAGGATCAGTATTATTCGTTCCCTGAAAAACCATAGCAGGCACTACTGCTGTGCAATGATGAGCTTTAACATTGTAATGCTCGAAGCTAAGTTGAAACTGAGAGTTAGCTTCCAATTTTCTCACATTATAAAAACTTCAAGCTGCCACCTGAGAAAGCATGCTACCAAAAACAAAAGAAATCCGTTCAGACTTACTCGAGTCGTGAATTATAGTCTCAAAGAAGATAATCACTAGAATCCAGCACAGGAATGGACTGCAAAGCTGCAGAACAAGAAAAACTCCACTTCTGCAGAACAGATAACTTCATGCCAAACTCACTGAAGGACAACCTGGAGAAAGATTTTAGATACTAGTAGCACATGCTTTGATCAGATGAGACAAAACTAGAGCTCTTTGGCCAAAGAGATGCTTTTTATGTTTGGAGAAAGAAGTGAGAGACATATAAAGCAAAGAACAACGTCCCCACATTGAAACACAGTGGTGGCAGTATTATGTTGTGTCTGGAACTGGGAATCTCTTCAAGGTGGAAGAAATCAAAATAAAAGGATATGTGAAGATTTGGGAGCAAAATCTCAAGCAGTCACCAGTAAACCTGTGTCTGGGTTGTTGCTTTGTCTTTAATCACGACAGTGCCCCAAAACATAGTCACCCCTGGTGAAGACCAGGCTCCAGAAGGCCAAAATCAACATTAATTGTCATTAGTGTCATTAAAGGCCTGCACAAATCTCTGATTTCAGTTCCACTGTTTCTCTGTTTAGCAACACTTGGGAAAATCTTTATAGAGGGCCTAATGGTTAAGTCCTCATGTATATATAAGACAGCACTGATAATCAGTGTGCTTCTACCAGGGTACATCTGATGTGGACAGCAGCAGTTCAGTGATACTGATAGATACACCGTCACTGCAAGCGAGTACTGAGAGGTAAACCAAATGTTCTCTTTTATTTTTTATGTGTATAGCATAAATATTTGTCTCTGCCAGTTAACAGACTTACCAGAGGGTGTCAGTCATCACAAACTCATGCTGTGCAAATAAGCATGGCTTAAAAACATTTGCCATACCAAATGAATACCACATGAAAAAAATGACAAGTACAAAGTGGGTTAAAGGAATTTAAGAACACCACACTTGATGTAAGACCTGCTTAAATCCCGATTTGGCCACTGATCGTCCAGATTGTAGAGATTACTGTATGTGCTGATCTGAAAATGAGGGCAGCCATCAGCTGGTGACCGTGTTTGTGATGCAACGCTCCAGTTTTCACCCACATTTTTCTAACAACCATAATGCGTCATGGCTGCCACCAGACTGCAGGCTTTCAGCGCCTACCAGCCTGCCTGTAATGTCATCACTCTCAAGGTGAAGTCAGAAGACGGGAGCCACACTTACATAGTGAAAATGTCCCCGTCGGAAACAGTCGGTGACCTGCGGAGGTTCCTGGACAAACACAGGTGAGGACACATCTCAATGCACTGACCGCACCGCTGCTTTTACAATCACGTGACCCAGCCTGCTGTTTGTTTGTCGCTGCACTACAGAAGGGGCGGTGTGCCCAGTTATGACATCATCAGCGCATTCCCACAGCGCAACTATGATGATGATGGTCAGACGCTCCAGTCGCGTGGAATCGTGACAAACGCCACTCTACTGCTGCGACAGAGGAAGCCCGATCCTTCACTGGCCGACGTCAACAAAGCTGTTAAAGATTAAAGAATTACTTTTATCTTGTTACATCAGTGCTGTTCACAGCAGAGCGGAGCGTGAGCAGAAGTAAAGGTGTTGCTGATGTTATTAATGACGACTGTGTTCTGTGACAGTGAGGCCAAAAGCATTCACAAACCCATGACACTGAAATAAAATCCCAATGAGCCATTATTCCTTTTGTTTCTTATACCTTTGCTCTTATCTTAACAGGGACACAGATCATTAACACCAATATCTAATCAGATAATCACATGGCAGCAATTCAGTGCATGTAGACATGCTCAAGCTGACCTGCTAAAGTTCAAACAGATCATCAGAACGGTTAGTGCCAGATGGGCTGGTCTGCTGGGATTTTCCACGCAACCATCTCTAAAGTTCAGAGACAACGTTCAGTGAGCAGCAGTTCTCTGGGTGAAATAGGAGAAACAGAATGACTGCTTAGAGCTTATGGGAAAGGAGCAGTAATTTGTTACATCCACAATATGCAGAAGAGCATCTCTTAACACACAACACACAGAACCTTTAAGCAGGTGGGCTACAGCAGGTGAGGACCACACCGGCTGCTGTCAGTTGAGACCAGGACGCTGAAGTTACGATTAAGACTGGAAGAATGTTGCATGGTCTGATGAGTCTGTTTCTGCTGCAATACTTGGATGATACGTTCAGAATTTGAGTAAACATAAAAGTAAGGTTCAGGCTGCTGGTGGTAGGACATAATCTCCTAATTTGTGTCTTTTAAAGGACAATCTCTTCCCTGGACTCATTATGAATGTGCAGCTGACACATCTGCAGGAACAGTCTGGTCTTTTCATCCTTTCTCTGCAAAGTTAAACAAATAAAAGCAATCTGAGACCAATTAAAACAAAACCAAGTGTCGAAAATCTTTATTTCTAAAATATGCAAATACAAACAAGGACAAAAGTATGAAAATATAAACATATTTTTTCCCTTTTGCAAAACATTTGAGATGTTAAGGCATGCGGAGCCCGACTTTTCAAAGAGAAATCTTGTGCTACTCAAGTTTAAAGGTCCCATGAAATGAAAAATGGCTTGTGTGTCCCTGGGTGGTGTTCAGAATAATAAAAGTCATTCTTGCATATTTTTATGTTAAAATCCCTTTCTCTTCCCATAAAGTGTCATGCTTTTTCGTTTTTGTTTTCCCCTTTTAAATGGCTTATCTCACCGTCAGGACAAATACAAAAACTCCATTCACTTCGATGTGACCTGTGATTATGGGGTGATCCAGCCAACCCCTCCACAGTCACCTCCACAGTCAAAACGCCTGAAGGAACATCCCATCTCATCACACCTCAAACCACAAAGAAATAATACAATCTAACAGACACTTCATGGGACCTTTGCACACTGTGGATGCTTGCTGAGACACGTTAGCACATTATTACAGCAACAACACGTTAGGAAGACCCAGAAAACTTTCACACAGAGTTTTCAATGCAAACAAAAAAACCCTAAAATAACAATAAATAATACTGAAGATTAATACTGTTTCTCATTCATACATTTACTCAAACAGTTCACCGCTCGGCTTGAATGCGAGTCTGCTGTCATCGACATGAAATCTACGCTATATCTACGCTCAGACTTTCACCGTGTTTTAATCATCTACCAGGGCCAACTCGAGCTTTGCAACACGTTTTTTTTTTTCCTACTACATTCAGTGTCAGAGGGAATGTATTGACTGTCCTACTGGTTGACACACTGAGTGAACGGTTATACTGGAAGAGTCAGCTGCAATCAGCCCTTTGTGGTTGGTCTGGGATGAAATTAGCATTGAAGTTGCAAACGCGACAGAAAGGCACATGTTGGTAATTCATTCAGGAGGAAGCCTGCAGCAGCGAGGAGTGCTCGCACACCTGCACGACTGCTTCGACCGATGTTTCTTTGGTATACGGTAGGCCTGTTGGTGTGAGAAGCTGATTTGGTATTAAACCTCTTTTAGTTATTATGCCTCATACCTCACAGCAGAGTCCAGTATTACAGTGTTCACCATTTCAAATGGCGCATTAGTAACATTTCCTTGCAAAGTCGTTAAAAAAAGGAAGAAAAAAAAAAAAGCAAAAGTAAAAAGCAAAGGTTAAATATTTTCAGTTGATTGTCAACTACTTCTCAGATAATTCCCCTTTGGAGGGAAATTAAATTTTAAATAAGTTAATATTTGCAGGACCTCTACACAAAGAGTTTTCCACCAAAGTGGAATAAAAAGTATAAGACTGTTTTGGTAACTGACAGCATCATGTCGTCATCATTATAAAAACAAAAAAAAACCCACACGTGCGCACACAAACACACAGACACACAATGCTTAAGGATCAAGTATTAGAGGTAAGTTATATTCTGTTAGCCCTTGGACTGAAATAGATGAACTCAATGGGATGGGGGCGGGGAGGTGGGGGCTCTGAGCTACAGGCAGGCTTGAGACTCGACATGCAGTCAGTCGAGAAGTAGAAGCTAAACCATATGGGCTTTCCTTTGTCCTCGTTTCAAGGAAATTATAGTCCAGTCCTCTGACATTCAGGAACAAAGCGTGGAAGAAAAGCCTGTTAAGAGTCCTCCAAGATGAAGAGGTTCCCGCAAGTTTCCTCCATCGTGGCTGGTTGTCGAGGTTACTGAGTTATGCAGTTTTCTCCCATGTCCTGAGCGTAACGGTCCAGTATTACGTTACGCAGCTCCTCGACATCGCGCCGGAGCTGCTGGACTTCGACCAGCTTCTTCTGCAGCACCTCAGGATTCATCCAGTCCTCGCCGTGCTCCGCCACGGATGGGGGTGCTGGAAAAACAATGCATAATTGGTTCTCATTCGATTACATTTAATTTAAACATCAAATTCAACACTACAGTGAAAAAGATGAAGGTCAGAAATAAAAACTCGAGTAGTGCTTACAAGTGAGGCCAAGGAGCAGGGACAGGTTGGGGTCTTGTCCCTGGGCTCGCTGGGTTAGGATGCTGCACAGTGAGCGCAGGTCACTGAGGCAGGAAGCAATCTCAGCATGCAGTCTCTTTGTGAGATTAGCCCCAGCTGGCTGCAGGACAGAGGAAGCCTGGTTAGTGCACTTTTGCTCTGGATCGCTCATCTGCTCCTGCAGCGTCAAATTCTGCTCCATTAGTTCCTGGTTCTGGGTCGACAGCTACAACACAATGATCGGCATCGGTGTTAGGAGCTGTCGAGCTTTATTGAGGACTCAGAGGTCTGATTTCTAAATTAAACAGAAACTGAGAAAGTTGGTGCTTTTTTGGAGATGGTGGTTAATATAGCTCACCTCCTTCATGGCTGTGTGGAGCTCTAACACGTTCTGCTCTTTGGCCAGCACCTCCTCTCTGAGAGCCTGAGAGCTGCTTTCTTCCTGAGATATCTGCTCCTCCAAAGCCTGCAAAAGAAAAAAAAAAAAGATTTAAAAATGTTGCGCGCTACAGAAACAGCAAACACGCACTCATTCAGATTCCCTGTGAAGAGATAAACACCTGGATCTGTGATCCAAGCTGTTCCATCATCCTGTGTTGCTTCTCAATAACCTGCAAAGAGAAGAAATGAGCATTAAAACAACACCAACTTAAGCACCAATGAGGCGTTACCGACCAGCGTGTGCTGGATATTTTCCATGTTATTGATCTAACTTGCACACATGAGCACAGCAAATTCAGTACACACTGCAGAGAACATGCTGTAAACCACATAATACAGTCATTTCCCAGAGAAATACTCACTTCTCTGTAAATCTAACTCATCTGAACATGAACTTCCTCTAAGCTCAGGAGTCATCTGAGGTCAATGCACAAAGTGGGTTCTTTCTGCATCTTTACTTTGGGATAGAAATTACTTTTTAATAAACCTACATACAAATAGTCCTTAGTTATTCTAGTTTATCCAGTGATATTTACACTCTGAATCCTGTCTTTGTGTTCTGCCCTGATCTGAAAAGGTGAACCTTCTTTGCACATGTAAGACCACACCAAGCAGACCTTTTTGAGTCTCTGTTGCTCCTCTTTCAAACTGTTGTTCTCTCCTCTAAGCTTCTCAAAATCCAGAGAAGGGAGTCTGGCTCCATCCTCCAGGCCCTGCTGTACCCGCTGCTGCATACTGATGAAGACAAAAATAACGCAGAACACTCATTATGCACAGTTATTAGGTTTTCTTTTTACACTGAGAGCGAGGAGAAATAACATGCCTACAGAGAGGAGTACACATACTCAGTAATGGTGGTCAGCAGGTCCCTCTCCCTGCGTTTCTGCTCCTCCAGGTATGAGTCTTTCTCCTTCAGCTGCGAGTTTGTCGTCGCCAGACAGTCGTCCAGTTCTTTTACTTTCCTTTCTAGCTCTGCTACCTGATGTTCAGCTTCCAACAGCTTATTTTAAAAAAGCAAACAAACATGAGCAGGTTTAATGATTAACACATGTGCACCTGAGCAAACGAAAAGGAGTTAAAGTTTAGTGTCCTAACCTGTTTGTTCTGGTTCTGGTAGTCCTCCAAGGTGGGCAGGTCAGCGAGGTAGCGCTCAAGAGTCTCAATACGCTGCTGGTTCTCCCTCTTCAGTTCCGACTCCTTCTGACACTTTTTCTTCAGGTTGCTGATGTGCTTGTCTCGACTGCGGATCTGCAAACATAAACACACGTTAATCTGATAACATTACGGTACCCAAATGTGCCGCTCAATACAGCCCTTCTCAATCATCTGATGATGAATAAAGGAAAATGACAAACCCATTGTTACTTTTTAGTTTCAAAGAAGTTTGTTTAATGAAAAGAGGAAGCGTGCTTCAGGCTTCGAGTGATTAACCCTGACCGATTTTTATCTACACCATATTGTTTCTTGTGTGGGAGACAACAACTTCCCACTTGATGTCCTTGGGCTCAAGGACGTCAAGTGTTTTGCTCTGCTGTTAGCTAATATCAAATACTGGGACATGCTAGAGCAAAGTATTGGGCAGGGTTTTTATTTATATATAAAAAAAAACAACCATTGCATTGGCCATCATTAGGGTTTAAAGGTTTTCAGTCTCGATATTGTGGTTCTCGTGTGCATGACTCTTAATAAGGACATGTTGGGTAAGCACAAACCCTTTCTTCCTGTTTCTTCATCTCCTCCGTGTGCCTCTCGCAGGCTTCCTTCAGATTCTCGGTCAGTCGCCGCATCTCAGCCTCAACTGCCGCGAGTCTGCGCTCTGCCTCTGCTTTCTCCAGAACAACAGAGTCTGTGCGCTCTGCAAACTGCGCCCTCAAGAACGCGTTCTCCCTCTGAGCCTCCTGCAAGTCAACATCAAAGACTCAGCTGAGTAAGATATGGGTGCAGTTAGTCAACATGACAGCAGTATAGTAGTCCTAAGCGTTGCTTTCTGGAGGCTGAGCATGTTTTTACTAACCTGTAGACGCAGCATATACATATCTCCATAAGAAGCTCCTCTGCCCAGGAGGGCTCCGTGAACCTGCAGCTCGCTTTCCCTCAGACGCTGCTCCAGCTGGGCCATGTGCTGCTTTTGTCTGCGATCACAACCAAGTCCAACCATCAACAACAACACAAACATTCACAAAGCTTTGTTTTGGTAATTTAATAAAAGCAGTGAACCCATTACAAACACTTACCTCTCAATGATAAGCTCCTTCTCCTTTAGCAGGCTCTCGCTGGCTTTGACCAGCGCGTCCCACTTGCCCGACTCAGAGTGAACCGGTGTTGAGTATAGAGGTGGGTACTGACCCATTCCTCCACCCATTAGCTGTAACAAGAGAGGGAGAAATGTATTACGTGTCAGTGTTAACTGACAGTGGCGGACAAGTGATGAGACACACCTGCATACTTTCCACTTTTTCACACAATTCAGGGGTTAGCAACAACAGATCTAGTGCTTTAAAGTACCGAGTACTGCAAACGCCTCATGAATAACCTCCAATTATTCATATGCAACACAAAAGTAACAACTACTTTTTTGTCAAATCACATGGTCATGGGTCACTGTGCTATGAAATAATTAGCAGTGCCAGCAGTGTTTGTTTTCCAGTAAAACTTTAGATGACTAATGTTAAGGTTGTAATGGTACTACTAGTCTTATCAACACTACTTGGTGATTTGTGCTTTCACTGTTGATGTTGTATAAGAAACAAATTAACAGGATTCAGGACAAAGACAATGATAGTGATGCTCGTCATGCATGTGTGCACTCAGGACAAAACGGTTACTTTTAATCATTAACCCTTCAAGCTACCGGCAGACTGCTGGAGTTTCTGCCTTTATATGCAAAAGACTTGTACTTATGACTTTAGGAACCATAATTCATTGTGTAGCTTTGTACGTGCTACACTGTGCTGCAGCTGCCAATGGCCTTCATGCACATATAGAAACAGGGAAGATGAACTTCTGATTCTAAACCCCAAATTATAAAGTTTGAAATACAAACTGGACAATATATTATTAATAAAACAATAGTAAAGGACACCAAGTTTCTTTATTTGTTCACTGCCAATAGTACAACTGGTAACATTGGAGCTGATCAGTATTCTTATGATCAATAAATAAGCTCTGGTACCTGTTTGATTTCTGCTTTAGTGCCAACATCTTTACATTAAATACTTATAATTTTAGAGCCACACACGCCACATTTATGCTGACAACATAACAGGTTTAAATCTGCACACAGCTAGCCACCTGACAGTGACAGAACAAATAAACTGGCATAACAAATATTCCCAAGAAACATGAACACGAGCCTGTCATCTACTTCTTTTGTTAATGTCAAATAGGCTATGTATGTTGAGGACAAAAACGCTTATTGGGAAAGGACACAAAAAGTATATCTAAGCATTTAAAATACAATAAATAACGTTATGTATTAGAAATGAGTGAATGCAGCTCATCGATCTCGGCTTTGAATCAGCAAGAGGTTGTACAGCCTGTTCATATAGTATAATTACCTCTCAATACGATCAGGTTTAGCTTGTTTTTGTTCAGTGTTAGTTCCAGAAAAACTGCATTAGTGTACTTAAGTGTTCATTTGTAAGCAAAAATTTGATAAACTGCTAAAAGTCACACTTCAAAGTGGCACTCGGTCAGCATCTGCTCCCAAACATAACAAAAGTCAGTGTTAACAAAAGATCGAATAATTAAATATATCTGCAGACAGCATATAATTGGTTGAAGTAGTTGAAATTTAAATTTTGGTTATTGATCTGTTTAAAATCCTGTTTTAAAATAAACTTAAATGTGTATTAGACCACATTTTATATGTAATTAATAAAGAAATGGGAAAATCTATACATTGTGTATAGAAGCTATTCTTTTGCCAAGTTTTAATCTTTACAAACAAACAGCTACTCCACAAATCTTCAGTTTTTTACATTTTCCCAGATACATCTGAACCCATTTAAAGCTGCCTTTTTTGTTTTGCCACCTAGCAAAATATATTGTGTGGAAAAAGTGTCACAAGATACACTTGAAATCCAAACTTGTTGGTCTCACTTTCTTTACCAACAATCTTGCAGCAGTAGATGTTTTATATTGAGATACATACCTGCATTTGTTCCATTTGCAAGCGTAAGCTTTCCAGTTGTTTATGCTGCTGTTGCTGCTGCCAGCTTGGAAGTTCACTGCATCTGTCCTGCCGCAGCGGCTCATAACCTTTGGAGCCTGCGTGCTCTCTCAACAGAGCTTGCGTCTGAAGGCTAAGAGGACTCGTATAAACTCCAGCAGATCCGGCCACACCAGGCTGTCCGCCCCTTTGATTAGAGGCTTCTGCAGTACCAGGAACACCAGGCCTAGCTTCAGGCAGAACTTTATAGCTGTGCTCCAAACTTCCTCTGTAGGCCTCAGACACGTAGTCTGGAGTGTCTCTAATCCCGGTCTGTAACCGGAGTCTCATGTCAGGGCATAACCCACCCAGAATGGCTGACTGATTCAGTGTAGGTTCCACCGCAGGAGTATCAAACCTGTGGCCCTCGTCCAATCGCGTATGGTCTGTTGGGAAAAGCGAGTGGTCCAGCCCATTCACCAGACTACGGTATCGACTCAGGCAGTCGGGCTTTACCCCGACGGGATCTCCTCCCACGCCAACTTCAGCATCCAAGTTGGGCGAAGATGCTGATTTGGAGAGAGAGGAGGACTTTGACGTGGTGCCGCTTGGGGTTCTGGAGCCAGAGGAAGATCTGTGACCTGCAGCTGAGGACAGGCAGTCCTCCTGGACACATGACTGGGGCTTTGAGGCCGGGGCTCCGGCCGTGGATGGCATGACATGTGCAGTGGGTATGGGGATCTGACTGCGGATGGGCTGGAAAGAGGGGCTGCTGCTGGAACTGCAGAAATCTTTAAAAAAAAAAAATAAAAGAAGACAAACATTAGAAACAACATTAAGAGGATTTCTCTCACACTACAAATGTTCCCTGTTAAACCAGTGCAGAATATCTGGAGCGCTACCGCAGGCCATTTTCTCTATTTTCAGTCAGCAGTGTAAAGTAGATGCAGCAGGGTTTACTGGTGGCCTACTTTGATGATGAGGTGTCACCGCTGAAAGAATTAAATGGCTTTGACTGACTCAACTCAGGGAATAGGCTTATAATAGACTTAAAGCACTGCACAGAATTAGAGCTCCGTGTTACATGACAAACATTTCCTGTGTTCACTGTGTTAATAAACCTGCTGATACCTGCCTGAAACATGTACAATTATAACCCACTATAAAAATATGTTACTGCAGAAGGGCAGACAAAAAGTTCAGCCCTATAATTAGCAAAATTTTGACAACACACATGGGGTACTACAGCTTCAGTAAACACAGAGTCCACTTTACTAAGCAAGCAGCAATGTTAATCTGGAAGCTTCAGAGATGATAAATGACTTTAGGAACACAGGAAAACCCAACACCAGCCATCTCCACAATCCTCAACACACGTTACACAACTGTTTTACCAGCACTACAAACCTCAGAGAAGTGTTGAAGTCTGAAAATTGGGCAGTCACTCGAACACAGCAAACGTGTTAGAGGCTGTGGCATGTTTTCTAACAACGAGCGGAAGTGAGCAGAGCGGCAGAACGCTTTAAATCAAAACACAGAACAGTCTTCTGCATTTCCTGAGAGCAACAGAACAACCTGTGAAGCCAAGACTGACAGCCGCCCGACGAGCAAGCCCAAAGCCGTATTGTCCTCCAACAGAAGACCTCGCCTTTACCGAGCCCTGAACGAACGCATACAAACAGGCACACGCAGGAAAGGTTAGGGGGTATTTATAGCCCACCTCTCAAGTTACAGAGCAATCTGTGGGTGCCGCTTATTTAAGCACCTTGCCTCCTCCCACTGAACCACACATCACACGTGTACCTCCAAAGTCAAATACTGAATGGGATACTTCTACCTCTTACCAGCTTAAACCAGAACTGATTTAAATTAAGACACCCTGAATAATCACTGCACACAAAAATAAACAGCAAACATGGCAAAATAGGGTGGGGGGAAAAAAGAACAAACTTTTTTTCTTTTTTTTTTTTAAAAACATAACACATCTGATATAAAAGACGCCTCAAGGCTCCACTGAATCACGACTGGCTAGAACATGTCTGAACTCCTCAGCAAGAACAACCTTTGTTAGATGTTTGCTCAACACACATTCCTACCCAAAGACATAAAAACCCAAAACTTGTTCATTTGTATACCAAATCGAGTGTATTTCCCACTTCACGGTGACTCTAAAAACTCATTATCGTAGCTTTTAGTGAAAGACTCTGATAAGATATCATTGTTAACAATGTCATTATCTCTTCTGCCTGCTGGTCTGATTCTTTATCAATACCCTCATTGATTCATGATCAATCATCCAAGTACATAGTTTTTCAGCTTAGACACAGAGGTTTTACTATACCTGAATCTGAACACAGTTTAGAAACAGAGTTTTGTTTTTTTAGAAGGCCTGTGTGTGACTATGATGTGCAAAAACCTTTTTCCATGAGTTTGATGTCCCTCTATAAAATATGCAAAAGTCAGGAAATCATGAAGGCCCCGATTAAAAGGCACTGATCAGCTTGGAGCCACAAGAATGCAATGGACTGGACAATTTGATACTGGTGCTAAACTGGAAGCAGTTTAATTCCAAACCCTAATTATCTGCTATATTTATAGGCACTGCCATCAGTCTAGGTGGTTGGAAAAAAGCCTAATAGCTGCATTACTGGATATATTAAAGCCAGTTTCCCACATGCACTATAGCCTGAAACGTTTCTAGATATCATCCAATGAAAAGTCTCTCAGCTCCAAGTTTGCCTATGTGAGAACAGAGTGGACAACTGTCTGTTGAAGGAGAGCACAAAACTGTAGACAATGTCTGGAGACTTCTGTTTTGTATTTTAATTTCACCTTTATTCAACGTATCAAACTGACATCTTGAGAATATGATATGAGCCAAGGCAGGAAACCAAAACTTCCAGAGAAAAATCCAGAAAAGCACTCAAACTACTCAGGATTGTACAGTGGGTCAGTGCTGCTAGTTTAGCTCTGTAATAGCTTACAACTATTGCTATAAACGAAATTTGCTCAGGGAACACAACTCAATACATGAACATGTGGAGGGTTGGACAAAATAATGCGAAACTAGCAATTAGTGTATCTAATAACAAGCCTGCCAACCATTCGCTTGAATACAGCTCTGACCGTTATAGGAATATTGTCTTACAAGCGCCGAGCTCAGCGATTAACATGTTCAGGAGGTGTAAGATAACCCTGGCCACCTCAATGGCATCTGCTTTCATTTATTTCAAAGACAGAACGCATGCATCTACTAACACTAATAACTGGTATTTACTGGAAGTTTGAAAGTTTTGGTTGTTTCTTATTGTATCTCTGCTTGTGTGTTATTTGTTTTATGCTCCACTGACTGTACTGTTGTCTTTCTTGGCCAGGACACTCTGAAGACATTTTTTCCTGGTTAAATAATTTAAAAAAAAAAAAAAAAAAAGAACTCCACAGGTTCTCTTAAAGCTAACTGATAAAAAGCCAGGAGCAGAGATTGTTTAATTCACCATAGTGACAGGGAGAGCACCAAAATAACCATCAGTTTACTCAGTGTGCTGGGACACCATCACCTCACTAATATTTTTCCTTGTCCTTGACAATTGCCTGGCAATCCACCCATAAATACCAGCCCAAAGCCTACAGTGCTGCTACTCTGCAGCCTATTATTTTGTAATGTTTCCTTTGGAAACAGGGACCACCCATCCCAGCTGGCCATCCATTAAACACAGCCTTTCAGTCCATTATTTTTTCCACTAGTGCATGCACACAAGCTATCAAACCATTGGGAGATTCCCATTTTAAACAGAACAATGTGAAAGCAGTGATATTCCCGCCACAGGCAAGGTACAGCCTTGGCATTCAAACATCTCCTCTCACTTAACCTCAACTCTGGAGCAGTACAAGCTGCACCTTGGGTCAGTTTTGGCTGGGGAGTATCTCTGTAAATGTCCCAGGCATCAGCGGTGAATCATGAACATTTTATCACCCTATAAATAGACCTAGAAACAACACCATGGACAACACAGTGTGTTCCAGCTTCATCTCCCCAAAATTGTTAAGTGCCAAGCATTACCTAATTTAAATATTTCATGACTGCGCTCAACTTTCTAGTGAGCAATTTTAAAGAACAGAGGTTTAAGGGTGCACAACCATTAGAAAAACAAACCCAACACTGTTTAATGGATGTGTTCAGGTCACTGCAGTGAGACAGTCTTCAAAACAATGTTACACAACAGGCACTACAGACAGAGGAAGAACAAGCAAAAGTCATCACCTTCTGCACTGTCAGATGCTGATGTGCCAAGACCAGTGTCCCCGCTGTCTGATGTTCCGGGCCGGCGGCCAAAACGGCTTTGGAACTTCTCTGACACAGCTGGCGTCTGCCACTCCATGTCAGCAAACCGGGCTAATGCACATTTGTGAAAAGGGACAACGACAGCAGAGCAGAACATCAACACATGTGGAAATGATGCAGGGCTTATGCATGGTGACAGCAGCGTGTCAACTTACCCGCTGGTTTGGATTCAATATATCTCTGCGAGGTGGTCATTCCATAAAAGACCAGTTACCTGTGGAGACAAGGAATTAGCATTATTGTATGGTACGGGACACTGAACAGGTGATCAAACTCATGGAATAGCTTTAAATTGGAACATGTGTAAATTTGTTTACTTTGCCTCACTTAAACAAACAGCTGAACAACTAACGATCTATTTTAAACAATAATTTGACAGAGGCTGGCAGACTTTTGTGCCCACCATAGAAAGCCTGTCTGCACATAGTAATTATGAACTGGACGGTCACGGGCTAGGACACAGCAGCTGTTAGCTACTGACTGATCTGCTCGCCTATCAAATTCATCTGCCCATCAACAACCACCACACACACTTTTCTGGGTAGCAACAAAAATAACAACACGAGCACATGTCTTCTCGTTACATAATGTCTTACACAAACATCTCTATCCCTACGGGAACCCTATAGGAACTTCCAAATCAATGGTGAGAAAAGAATGTAATGATGGTGGGCACCAAAAGGCTAAGACACCCCCCACTGTTGTTCAAACTAATCATTTTCTGTAGCTAATTCTTAAAGGAAACTACTGATGCCAGGGAACGCTTTAAGCTAAACACGAGTACACGCTTAACTGAATGTACTAAAAGTATTTTTGTTAGTCAGCCGAATGAGCCAATTACTGCTATCCCAATCTACCTATTTTGTTACAAAGAAAAACACACACACAAACAACTCGTTTAAGATTTGAGCAGCGATGCCCTACACCGTTAAGCATTTTAGCTAATCCACGACAAATCCGTTTCCGCCGAACAAGCTAGCTAACAGCTAACACCGCTACGGTTTTCTTAGACTCCTGAGTTCACATCCACGATACATATCTGACTTCAGCCTACCGTGCACATTATCGTAGATAAGCCGGTTCTTCACGCTGAAAGAACGGCTACTTTACCTTCGGTTTCAGATAAGGACTGAATACAGTGATAAATCTCGGTCTCGGGCTCTGAATCTGAACCCTTCGCTGCTGCTGCTGCTGCTGTTGTTCCGCTAGCCAACTGATCTCCTCTGATGGCAGACAACCCCGCAAAGACACGGTGGAAGCTTGTTTAATATTACAGCGCCGCCCGCTAAATTCGGGGAGTGGGTGCTGCTTCACAAACCGCTGCGGAGTTTTCTGCATACACCTTGTTACACCTCCACTGATGGTACACACCGACTTCAAAACTATGGGTGCTGGTGTAATATCGTGAAATATTAACCTCTGAGCCAGATTAATTCACAGAATTTTTATCTTGTCATGTGGCCAAAAAACCACTACAGCAACACACAACGAACGCATCTAACCAAGTTGCACAGAGAAGGCAAGAATAACCTAGAAGAAGACTTTCGCAAGGGTTAAAATGTGTTGAAGCCATATTTAAAATACCTTAAATTGGACTACAAAATGTTGATTGGCACTGATGTGAACACTGTAAACTTAAACACAAGAGGTCAATGTCAATGAATTGTCAAGGAATTGTATTTGTAGAGCACATTTTAGTACACGTAAACTCAATGTTCTTCCTATAAAAGATAGACATCAAAATTACACGGATCTGTACGTAGGGCAATAAAAACAACAAAAGAAAACGTTACAAAAACATTAAATTCAAGCGAACACGCACACACAAACACATACAGTGTAAGTCTATGAAAGTAAAAAGGGTTTTGAGTCTGCTTTTGAATGTAAACACACTTATAATTGACCTCAGGTCAGCGGACAAATCGTTCCAAAGAACAGGACCACAGTTTCTGAAAGCACACTTTGCTGTGTGGTTAGGAGTAGTTAAAAGATCTGCGCCTGATGACATGAGAGGTCTCGCTGGGTTAAATAGAAGGAAGTTAAAGATAATTCAGTGTTGAACTGAGAGCCAATTAAGTTATTTCAATAGATGTTCAAGTTTCCATGTGCGGTTAAGGACTCTGGTAGTGGCTCAATCCAATGATCCTTTGGATAATCTGGTTAACAGAGTGTTAATGATTAACCTGCTTGACATAAATGCATAGAGCAATCTGTCAGAGTCAGTTTGATATAAAAATGTTCTTATGTTTTATTTTATTTATTTATTTAATTTTTCAGTAGTTGAAAGCAGTTCTGGTGACCTTATTGATATTATTGTTGTTATTGTTTCTTTTTTATATACACTACTGTACAAAGGTTTTAGGCAGATGTGAAAATTGCTGTAAACAAAAAATGCTTTCAGAAATATAAATGATTATTTATTGGCCCCAAATGTATTCTGCAGCAAGACAACGACCCCAAACATACAACCAAAGTCAGTAAGAACTATCATCAGCTTAAAGAAAAACAAGAAGTACTGGAAGTGATGGTATAGCCCCAACAGAGCCCTGATCTCAACATCATCAAATGTGTCTGGGATTACATTAAGAGACAGAAGGAAAATAAATGATTAACACTTCCATTTTTGAAAGCATTCTTTGTTTCCAGCATTTTTCCTCACCTGGCTAAAACAATTGCACAGTACTATAGATACAAAAGTAAGAATAATATACTATACCACATACTGCTAGCATGTGAAATTGTCAGCTGACAATCGTGCCAAAACTCTGATTTCTCAAGTGTCAAATTTCAAAAAGAAAATCCTAATTTGCTGCACATGTTACCCTATGATGGCAGATGTTGAGTATTACAAATGTCAGTTTCTCAACTTCCTGCAATAAAGCAACAAACAAACTCAGCATATGTCACACTTTCACTTCCATTTTTTGAGCCAAGTTTGGTAAGAACTGAAAAAAGAACCATAGAATTGTAGAGTAGAGCAGAATCGAGTATTACTGACCCCTGAAAAAGTACAAGTAATCATTACAAACTTTAAAGACACTATTATTACAGCGGACAACTTTTATGTTCTTTTAGAGTTTCGAAAGTTTCTGAAGAACTCTAATATCTGAATATTAAATTTACTACTTTGCTGCATCTTTATTTAAGGGTTGTAAAAACACATGCAATGAGATTCAGGTTTAACAATCTTACTGTTAAAGAAAAACTAAAAGTTGAAACTATTATCTTTTTTTAAAAGTAGTTCAGAAAAGACAGACCTAAAAATAAAATAAAGCCAAATAATAATAATAATAATAATAATAATAATAATAATAAAATATTATTATTATCATTATTATTTTATATATATATATATATATATATATAATATATATATAAATATGTATGTATATGAGAGAGTTTGTATTGTTTGTATTCATACCATAATTCACAAAGTCAGATACTTTATCACTCAGTGGGTTGTAAATATCCCAGGTTGTTTTAATTGAACTCAGACTGTTCCACTCATAAACACATAGGTCTGCTTGGTCACTTACAAACTCTGCCCGCCCTCTTAATTTGACTGCTTTTTTACATAAGGAAACTCTCCTTCCTCATTCACTGTGTGAAGTACATAAAATTACTCTTATTGTTTTCACTCATTCATTTACAAAATCTTCTTTTTTGATGCTGCCTTTAAGGGTCGTCACAGCAGACCATCTGGCTCCATCTCACCCTACCCCCAGCATCCTCCTCTGTTAGCCTGACCTTCTGCGTGACCTCCTTCACTACATCTATAACCTCCTCTGGGGATTTTCTATTTTTCTCCTTCCTGGCAGATTTATATTCACTATCCCACTATCCCTCTTCTGCTAACCATCTGAGCCTTGCCTCTCTAACTTTGCCTCCACCCCGAGCTGTTCCACTGATATACGTGTTTTTTAATCCTGCCCATCCTGGTCTCTACCAATGAAAACGTTAACATCCTTAACTCTGCCACCTCCAGCGCCCCCTTCTGTCTTTATGTTAGTGTCACCATCTCCAAATCACACATCACAGCATCATAGCAGGTCTCACTACCTCGTGTACACCATCCCTATTTTCAAAGTCAGGATCCTTACTTACACATGATTCACCCGCACAACACTATTCACAAATTCTTCCTTCAAGATTACCATCAAATTACAAAATAATACTATGTATTGCTTAAACATTTGGTAAATATATGTTACATTCTTTGTTGTAGTGCTCCTTTATTAAACGTTACTTGAAAATGCTTTTATTCTGGAATGCTTTTATTGTGATGTCCAAACAGACCGGAAGAGTTTGGTGTATTTTCAGCTGGCGGAACAAAGTTGCGTGCTTATGTGCAGTGGAGGAGGGTTGTGTTCAGGTCTGCGAAGGTATTAGCGAGTATTCTGTCAACAAAGTCACACGGAGTGCAATTTGTGACTTTTACTAAATGGACATTTCTTGACAGAGGCTTGCTTAGCTCGAGGGAAACGGTGAGTTTTGTTTAACAGTTGTAAATTATCACCAAAGCGCTGCAAATGTTAACGTTATATAAAGTGGATGTTTTGTTTAGCTAGCAAGGTAACGCCAGTACGCTAACGCCAGCTTCTTGATGAACGACAGGTCTCTCAAAGGCCCTGTGCACGGATCGTTAACCATTCTCGTAGGCTAATGGGGCTTTAGATTTTAAATAATTGTTAGTTTTTTGCAAAACTGTCAGTTGTTGTATTCCCAGAGCTACGTTGCTAACATTAGCCTGGTTAGCTAATGAAGTCGCTTTGTAGGTAACGGGAGCAAATACTATCTGTAGACCAGCTAGCGGTATGTTTTGTGCCTATGTCAGATGAGCAACAAAAAATCTCTGAATAAATCACATGCCTGAGTTTAATGTCGACTTTTTCCTTTTTCTGTTTAAAGCTGATATTGACGCTATACCGGTGTAAAGTCTCTGTCTTCTAACAAGTCTCTGCTCTGCCTTAATCCATTCTGCGTTTTTACAGCTTGGTCACAAGGAAAAAAAGAGTAAATGAAACCTGATCTCTGACCCTTGGAAACCTCCAGCCTCGAAACCTAATTTATGTTTTGCGGTGAGGCCATGACTACTGCCAACATCTCCAGAGATATCCTGCACAGGCAGATCAGGGTATGTAAGAACAGTCCAGAGCCAGTGTGATCATCCCCGTCTGATGGAGAGTCTGATGGAGATGTGCTCTTTTGTCTTTAGGACAAGAGAGCTGCAAGCTTCCAAAGGTTCTACCATGTGACTGACCCCTTCATCAAGAGACTTGGACTGGAGGCTGAGCTTCAGGTCACTAATAACATGACATATTTTTCTGTAAACACATTGGGACACTTTTTTTTCTTTTGTTCTCTTCGTCTGACCCTCAATGTCATTTATTTCAACAGGGCCACACAGGCTGTGTGAACTGTTTGGAGTGGAACGAACGTGGAGAGTAAGTGATCAAACCCTGTGAACCCTGTATGTACAGTGAATTTCTGTTGTATCTGTCCAGATAAGGTTTGCATCCTGTTCACTTCCTGCTTGGATTTTAAATGTCACAGTTTTACTATCACTGTTGGGTCTAACGTGTTGCAAAGTAATAATATAATCACATTATATCTTATTTTAGTAATTTAATGCGTTACTCACTAATTACAATACAGTTACAGTTATGTTGTTACTTGAATTACAAAGGCTCTTCAGTTATCTGAGCAACTGGCTGCTAGAAAGAAGAAAACTTTTTTTTAATGCTTTTAAAGAGCAGAAATATGGTTATTACTTTTATTTTTATTGCACCAAAGGACAAGAGTGCCATGATGACAAACTGCATGTAGGACAGAAACATCTGCATTATACACAAAGCTAGACAAGAAACCCAGAATAATGTCAAAGTTTATTGTATGGCGATCCCAGCCCAGCAGCCAAAGCCTGAACTTTAAAAGGCAGTGATGTGTAGTCAGGCTTGCAGACTCCATTTCTACCTGTACATATTTTTGCAGTAGAATCACTGTGGCGATAGCTTTGAAGACCCTTTCAACTTTGTTTTGTGTTGTTGACTTTGTTTTCATATGTGAAAACTAAAAGAAAGATTGTATTTGTGTCCTCATTAGGGTGGGGTTTTGTGTTGGTGTGTGGAACTGTAACCTCAGTTTTATATTACCGTAGTTGCCTGGTAATTAAGTATGTGACAGTGTGTTTCAGTAATTTTATGTACTACATACAT